GCGCTCGCCAGACAGACAGAGAGAGACATAGAGACAGAAAGCGAGAAATCACCCCCCAGGGGGGATGGTCACGCTGCAATCCCTTCTCCTCCATTCTCCTCTCGGGATCTTGGGCACGCACGCACACGCGCCCGGCGTGAGTTTTTTAAGCCACCGGGTCCGGGACACGAACCGCGGTCGACTACGTGGGAGTCCAGCGACATAGCCATTACGCTAACTGCTGGTTCCCAGCGTATACCTGGTTTTTAAAAGCCGTGCTGCAGAAATTGGACGTGTGACTTCCACTCACATTCCATCCTATAGAATTCTAAAATAAGGACACTACCAATGGCAAGAAAAAGTGGAGAATAGATCCTGGTTGTGACCTGAAAAAAGAAGAAAATGAGAATTAGTGAAGAGTTAGTTGGTGCTCTTATTTATTGTAAAAAATAATGTGAAATTAGAATATTCTCTTGGGTCAAGTTTTATAATTCTCTGCATAGAACTCCTTAAAGTAGGAGTTTAAAAGTTCTATAAAAGTAGAAATATGTAAGAAATTCAATAAAGTGCAGAACTGGAGCTGAAACATAAATGTTACAATGATACAAATAGCCTATAGTACATTTTTTTTTTCCCCTGACGTACTTGGGAAGGGAACGTTGGGACAAAAATGAAAATTAGATTGTAGAATATCCAGTTTATGTTGTCTGGGTGTGCACAAGGGATAATGGAGTTAGGAAGTCCATCCCCATTGGTCACAAGTAACTAAAGTGGCTGAGAGGTGGTCTCTCACCTGCATGATCCTTAGCAGTCTATTAACCACAGTGTAAGTTTTTTCTAGCACACATCTCCAAACCCTTCCACCCTGTGCCCACTGTCTACTGCCAAAGCCACATTTACATTTTTAGATTTTTATTTCAGCAGGTTCCAGTCTTACTATCCAAATATGTATTGCTTAGTCTTCTTTAGAGAAACAGAGCTAACAGGAAATGATTGATAGAAATGTATTTACAAAAAGAGATTTATTATAGAATTGGCTCAATTGTTTAAGAAGGCCAAGTCCCACAATTTACTAATTTTAAGCTAGAAAACCCGGAAAGTGGGTAGTCTAACACAGCCTGATCCAAAAGGCCTAAGTATTGAGAGGCTAATGCTCTAAGTCCCAGTCTGAGTACAAAAACCTGAGGACCAGGAAAACTGCTATTAGAAGACAAAGAGCTGAAGCAGAGAGAGAGAAAAATTTACCTTTTTTTACTTTTGTTCGGTGCTGCCTGACATTGGATAATGCTCACCCAGACTGGGGAGACTGTATGCAGTTCACAGTTCACCAACTCAAGTGTTAATCTTTTTTGGAAATAACCTAAATGGACACACCCAGAAATAAGATTTTTACCACCTATATGGGCATCCCTTAGTCTATTCAAGTAATACATAAAATTAACTATAATACTCACAGAAAAGTAAATTCAAGAAGAGATATAAGAACTTAAAATAGAATCTAATTAATTGAGATGGTATCGTATTTAGATGCATTACATTTAAAGACAAAGAAAAGAAACAAAAAGAAAATATAAATCCCTAAACAATATTATGTCCCTAAACCTACTGTCAGATCATGGCCTTACGACTTGGAGATGTATTCAAATCATAAAAAAAAATCACATTTAATATTCTTTGCTATGTAAAAAAATATTTATTAAACATGATTACTGAAGAATGATGATGGACAAAATGTAAACTTATTTTTATTTACTAAAGGCATAATCAAATTAGCTCTACTGGCCATTTTTAATTTTCCTTAAGAGTAAAAGTGTATGATGCAGTTTAATAAGTTATTTGGCTAATTAATCTTTGTTTCTGTAAACTTTAAATGTATAATTACAGTCTTTAGTGATAGCACACATAAGACTCAGAGCACATTCCCTGGATAAGTATAAAGTTTGACAGCAGTAGAATAGTGACTGTCAGAAGTTAAAAGAGTCATGGGAACCAGCAGTTAGCGTAATGGCTATGTCACTGGACTCCCACGTAGCCTACCGCGGTTCGCATCCCGGACCCGGTGGCTTAAAACTCATGCCGGGCGCGTGTGCGTGCGTGCCCAAGATCCCGAGAGGAGAATGGAGGAGAAGGGATTGCGGCGTGACCATCCCCACTGGGGGGTGATTTCTCGCTTTCTGTCTCTCTGTCTCTCTCTGTCTGTCTGGCGAGTGCACACGCCCTACAGTGAAAACCTCTCCAAAAAGAAAAAAAGAAGTTAAAAGAGTCTTGGTCTACCTTAATCTGTATTACTTGTATGAAGGATTTTTTAAAAGTTTACTGAAAATGTATTTTATAAAAATCCCATAAGTTTCAAACCTTTTTTTTAATGGAACAAAATAAACTCATATTTTGGGGACAGCAGGTGGCATGGTAGTTAAGGCAAATGGACTCTCACATGGCAAACTATGGTTCAAGTTTTGGACCTGGTTGCTTGAAAGTCATGCCATACACATGTGCATTCCT